GCTGGGCGGGGACCGGCTGGCCGCGGGGCGCGCGGCGGAGCGCTCCGGCTGAGCAGACGCAGGTCGCGCGCGCCCGAGACGCGGAGGCGCCGCCGCTGCAATCGCTGGGCGTCTCCAAAGGTAAGCGGGCCGGGGGCCTCGGTCCCTGCGGGCGCGGCGCGGGCACCCAGGGGCCGCAGACTGGGCCCCGTCAGCCCGCAGCCACCTGAGCCGCAGCCCCCGCCCCCGCGCTCACCCGAGCCCCTTCCCGGGCGTCCCGCGCGTCGCCGGCGCGCCCGGATTAGGATGCCCCGGAGTTTCGGCAGCGCGGCGCGGTGCCCGGGGCGGCAGGGAGGTTTCGCAAAGGCCACGGGCGGGGTCACCGTCCGCCGCGCCAGGGACAGGTCCTGTCACCGTCTCGGGCCGCGCTGGCTTTGGCTTTCTTCGCGCTGCCGAGGGACGCCCTGCAGCTTTTCCTCCAGGCCTCCCCAGCCCGGGACTCGACCGCGTTCCATTCCCAGGCCTAGGAGGCCGCGCGCAAGTGTGAGGCGTGGGAAATTGGGCGTTGGAAGGGCGGAATGAAGCCACAGCCCGCAGCGGGTTTTTGAGAGATCCGCGGGCCATAGACACACGGCCAGAATGAGCCGTCCTCGGGGTCTGACACCACCCGCGCTCCGGCAGGTGGGGGCGGTGTCAGACGTCCCCGCAGCGCCTCGGCGTTCCCGAGGCCCTTGGCTACCGCCCGCGGGCCCCGCTGTGGCGATGGAGAGGCGCTGCGGGAACACCTTCCCGCGACCCCCCTGGGAGCAGCGCCCGAGGATCTGAGGAGCCCTTTATTCTGCGGTTTCCGGTTCGTAAACGGAGCGAGGGAAGGTGAGAGAGGCGCGCACTCCCCGCCGCTGCTCTCTGATGCGGGTTTGGGCGTTGCTGTTTGATAGCGGTTGGGCGCCCCCTCGTTTTCTGATGGCCCTTGGGGCGGCTGTGTTTTGATGGGGGTTGGGGGCCTGCTGTTTTGATGGGGTTTGGGGTCTGCTGTTTGGATTGGGGTTTGGGAGCTGGTGTTTTGATGGGGTTTGGGCGTCGCTGTTTGGATGGCGTTGGGGGCGCTGTTTTGATGGGGGTTGGGGCTGCTGTTTTGATGGTGGCTGGCTGTTTGATGGGGTTTAGGGGGGGGCTGCTGTTTTGATGGGGCGGGTTTGGGGCTGCTGTTTTGAATGGGGTTGGGGGCTGCTTGTGTTTTGATGGGGGTTTAGGGGCTGCTGTTTTGATGGGGGTTTGGGAGCTGGTGTTTTGATGGGGGATGGGGGGGCTGCTGTTTTGATGGGGGTTTAGGGGCTGCTGTTTTGATGGGGGTTTGGGGGCTGGTGTTTGGATGGGGGTTGGGGGCTGCTGTTTGGATGGGGGTTGGGGGGCTGCTGTTTGGATGGGGTTTGGGTGTTTTGATGGGGGTTGGGGGGCTGGTGTTTTGATGGGAGTTGGGGGGGCTGCTGTTTTGATGGGGGTTTAGGGGCTGCTGTTTGGATGGGGTTTGGGGGCTGCTGTTTTGATGGGGGTTTAGGGGCTGCTGTTTTGATGGGGGTTTGGGGGTTGCTGTTTTGATGGGGGTTGGGGGGCTGCTGTTTTGATGGGGGTTGGGGGGCTGGTGTTTTGATGGGGGTTGGGGGCTGCTGTTTGGATGGGGTTGGGGGGCTGCTGTTTTGATGGGGGTTGCGGGATTGCCGTTTGGATGGGGTTTGGGGGCTGCTGTTTGGATGGGGGTTTGCGTTCCCTCTCAGTGTCACCGCTGATCCACCTGGCATGTTTATTGGCTCTTCTGCGTGCAGGGCCCCTGGGAGACCCATAGAGGACTGGGCCCCTCAGCCCACCCCGGCCACCCCTGCCCGCCCGACTTCTCTGGGGGAGAGGTCTCCCCCTGCGCCCAGGCAGCCCCTGCCCCTGGCAGGTGACCCAGCTCCCTGTGGCCTGGGACTAGGAGATGGGGCTGGACCGAGGCCTGGAAGGGGCAGGAAGTGGAGGGGAGTGAGGCAGCTGCAGCCTGATGCCGGCGCCTTGAACTGGGCTCTCGCGCCTGTCAGCAGCTGGGTGCCAGCGCCTCCCCACCACGTGATCCTCGGAGGGCCTGTGGGGGAGGGGCGGGCTCCAGGAGCGGCTGCAGAAGGCGAGCCCCAGGAGGGTGTGTGCGTTTTCCCGGGAGGGGTCTGCAGCTTTCATGGTTTCTAATGGGATCCCTGATTCCGAAAGGTGCCGGCATGAACTCGCTCTGCATCTTCACAAAGCATGAAGTCATGGGGACTGGACCGCGTGTGCGTGGAGGAAGCTCCCCTGGTCACTGGCTGCATTTTCATCTTACAGCTGGGGTTGGTCCATCTTCCTGAATTCCCTGAAGTTGCAATACATGTTTTAACGATTATACAAGGTTATAAATGCTCATTGTGGAAATGCGCATAGAAATGCTCATAGAAATGGTCTAAAAGGGGCTTCCTTTTGACCCCTCTACCCTAATTTGCAAGCCTCACACTGGCAGTGGCTGCCCTAGGCCTGGGAATCGGTCAACAGGGTTCCTGCACCGGGCTGGGCAGGGTCTGGAGGGAGGGGCTGCAGGGGGCCTCCGTGGGCACAAAGGCCAAAGCGCCACACGCAGGGCTCAGCAGAACTTCCTAAAGAAAATTAGGATCACCCATCGCAGATGGAGACTGGGGAGCTCTCTGGAGAGCAGGCAGTCTGTTCCCTCCCAGGCCTGTGGGAGCCACTCCCTGCAGAGGACGCTGAGAATTAAAAGCTTCCTTGGGAGACGCCGTGCCAGCAGAGAGCCGAGTCTGTTTATAGCTGGTGGTGAGACAGGAGGACTGTGTGAGAGGGATGCCATCTGGGGCTCTCGGGGGCCCCAGGCCAGTGCTGGTCAGCGCCCTGCAGTACCTGGCCCAGCCTGGTGCCCTCAGGCAGAAGTGCCTTCGGGAAAACACTCTGGGTGAGGAGAGTCAGTCATTGCCTCCGCCTGGGCTGGGGGAGCCAGAAGGCTGCGCCCAGTAGGGTTGCAGCTGGGTGTCAAGTTCGTCTGAGCCCACAAACCCTCAGCCAGGAGCCAGGATCAGGCAGCAGAATCTACACACGCCTAGTTCCTACTGCTGAGCAAAAGGTGTTTCCTGGGAAGGAAGGGGTGGAGCTGCGTGGGTCAGGCCCAGCCACATCTGGGGCTCAGACCTGGTCCCCGGCATCCACGAGCCAAACCCCAAGATGCCCTGCATGGATCCTCCTCCTAGGGAGACCACCTTCTTCTTGGCGTGTGTGTGTTAGGGGGTGCCACAGGGCCATAACCCACCGCATGCCCCTGATATGATCTTCCACCCAGGGCAGCCCCCACCCAGGGCAGTCTCCACCCAGATGATCCCCCACCCAGGGCATACCCCACCCAGATGATCCCCCACCTGGGGCAGCTCCCACCCAGGTGATCCTGCACACAGTAGAACACCCACCCAGGGCAGCTTCCACTCATTGCATCTCCCACCCATGACACCCCCCACTCTGATGATCTCCCACACAGGGCTTCCCTCCTAGGGCATCAGCAACAGATATCCCCCTAAGGTGACATCCTCCTCCCAATACCTCTAGGGCATACGCTACCCCCTCCCAGAGCCACCCCCTAGGCCATTCCTTCCCCAAGGCTCCACCACCCAGGACAATCCCCACAAGGATTCCCCACCCAGAGAATCCCCCCCCACCTAGGGTATCCTCCCCACATGGCATCTTCACCCAGGCCACCCCACCACCCAGGGCACCCCCCTACCCAGGGCACTCCCCCACCCAGGGCACCCCCCCACACCCAACACATCCCCCTCACCCAGGGCATCTCCCCACCCAGGGCAGCCCCCACCCAGGGCATCCCCCCGCCCAGGGCATCTTCCCCACATGGCATCTCCACCCAGGGAATCCCCGCCAACCCAGGGCTTCCTCCCCACATGGAATCTCCACCCAGGGTATCCCCTTCCCCAGGTAATTCCCCTCCCCATCGTATGCCCACCAGGGGATTTCCCCCTCCCCAGTGCATCCCGCCCCCTAGGGCATCCCCCACCCGCAGGGTTCTTCCACCCACTGCTTCTCCCTCCCTAGGACTTCCCCCCTCCAGGGCTTCCCCATCCTGGGCATTTCACCTCCAGGCCGTCTCCCCGCCAGGGCCTCCAGGGCACATCAACTCAGCAGCACGTCCTCAGTGGGGCAGCCCCTCCCCCGCACTGCAGGGCTCTGCCTGGGAATGGCTTTGATTGGCCCTGCTGGATCCAGGGGAGGGGCGGGTTCTGTGGTCTGCAGCCCCCTGGAATCACGCCTGGGGAAGGGCAGCACCCCGCAGGAAAGTGGCACGCGGTTCTCAGAAAAAGAATTAAGAAAAACATCAGCTGTCCCTAAATCTTATTTCCTGATACGCAAATTAAGACTGTTCTGGGTTCCATGTTGCTCCTTTAACTTAAGCACTACTTAATTGTGAATTGTAATTTAATGTCTGAATGTCCAAATGCGTGATTTTCTTTGGGGAAGAAATATAAAAAATCTTTCAAAAGAGTGGAAGCAGGCAAAGCTTTCTGTCTTTTCATCATACCAGCTGCCTTCTGCAGCCTCATCCGTTCAGAAAGCCGGGCTTCTCCCTTCCATCGTGGAAGGGTGAGCGCCTCCTCTGAGGACCCCAGTTGTGCTGACGTCGTTGAAAAGTGAGGTTCTGGAAGGGAAGGGAGGTTCTTAACCTTTCTTTAAGCCCAGCGGTTAAGGCCACCTGGAGCCCTTTCCCCGTTCAGTGTGGCTCAGGGAAGGGATTGGTGCCTGCGTTCCTCCGGGCCGGCTCTGTGTCCCACGTCTGACTTCTTGGCATGATCAAAGGTGCCCACCCATGTGGGCTCCATGTGATCCCCCAGTGCGCATGGCGTCACAGACCACATTTCCCAGATTCCATAACCTATAACCCCAACCTGCTCATTTGTTCACAAACGTCCAATGTGACCTCTGCCCAGGGAATGCCACCAACAGCCGCACCTGCCAGGCGACTTCACACACCCACTGCCTCCCTCTGGCTGTCAGTCATCAGTCAGTGGGGACAGGAGCAGCAAGCACCCGTGAGGGTGAGGAGAGAAGCCATTTCTCTTACTGTCTCCTGTCTCTGAAGAGGAGGAGGAAGTAAAAGTTGAAAAACAATAGGAATGAAGTCAGTGGCAAGGCCAGCCGGTGCCACTGATGACCAGGCCTGAGGTTAAAAGATTAACCCCCCACTCTAACCACATGTGCTCTCAATCTATCACGACCCTTTCACGTGGAACCCCTTAGAGTTGTAAGCCCTTAAACAGGCCAGGAACTCTGTCTTCAGGGAGCTCAGCTCTTAAGACGTGAGTCTGCCAACGCTCCTGGCCGAATAAAACCTCTTCCTTCTTTAATCGGATGTCTGAGGAGTTTTGTCTATGGCTTGTCCTGCTACATGGGGTCTGGATGTGACTTCAAACCCAGGCCCTGGCCCAAGTGCCCTCACGTCTGACACAGGCGAGCTCCCAGCACCCTCTGCGTTGTCAGGAAGTGTGTGACACACCTTCCTGGCCCACAGTGGTGTGCCAAGTGTACTTAGCTCACCATGCCGATGGCTGCCACTCGCCGTTCACCCGCTCACACTGGATCCCCACCCAGAAACAAACCAGGTCAGTCCCACCCACTCAGCAGTGCTGCTGGTGCCTCAGGGCCAGGGAGCCATGTCCAGGCCCCAGCCAGCTCCAGGGACCTGACCCAGCCCCTCCCCCTGAGCCCAGGGCACCGCTGCACAGCCACCTGCATCTCCCACCCATGGCGTCTCACAGGTGACCTGGCCACCGTGGCTGCTTCTGGGGTGTCCGTCCTCTCCTGTGCACACCAGCCCCCGATTCTCCTAAGACTGCCCAAGTGCCGGTTTCCTCTGCTCCTCGGCGGGGTGGCACCTCTGCCTTCTCAGTGCCAGAGGAGCCTGGGCCATGGGCGGAGCCACTGGGGTGAAGCTCATCTCAGCCTCACCTCCCACCAGGCTTGTTCCTGCCAACTTTGCCAGTGCCTACCTGTCCCCAGGCCGCCTGCTGTGAGGGCCCCAGCTGGCACCTGGCACAGTCCACCTGCAGTTCTAGTGCCAGTCATTGTGGGCTGCCTCTCTTCGTGTTCTGGGAGTGGGATGGGGTCTTACTCACTGTCTGTTTTCTCATCGAATCACCAATTCCTGAGCACTGTGCTCTGGCTTTGCCTGTATTTTTAACGTTTAACCAGAAGCCACGCAGTGGGCACTCTGCTGTGCTGGCTCACCGTGGCCAACAGTGTGCGCGAGTGGTCCGTCCACACTGCATCGAGGAGCCCCAGGCGCTCGCGCTCATGCTGCCCACACTCTCGCGGGGATGCCCGCTGTCCCTCAGACCACCATACTGGCAGCAGGCGCCTGTCCACGCGGTTTCCCTTTCTTGGCAACTAGGGATGAAGCTGTCGTGGGCATTCCTGGGATGTTCTTTGGGGCATGTGGGCAGGAGTCTCTTGGGTCAATCTGGAAGTGGAGCCGTTGGATCCGGGATCGTGTGTGTCTTTACATTCATCAGATGATGCCAAGCAGTTCCCAGAGGGGTCGAAGCCATTCACCCACACAGTTTCCTGTTGGCCCATGTCCTTGGTGGCACTTAATGCCACCACAATGGGGATTAGGTTCCAGTGTGGATTTTGGAGGGGACGAATTCAGCCTGTAGCACCTTCTCCTCTTCTTTGTGTGTCTTCTCTTCTGCCTTTTCTAGGTAGAGACACTCACCATTGGATTTAGGGCTCAGCTATGGATAATCCAGGATGATCTCATTTCCAGATCCTTTCTCCAAACAAGGTCGGGTTCACAGGTTCTGGGGATTAGATGGGGCCACCGTTGGCCCAGAGCTGGCCTGGTCCCAGCTGCCTGCAGGTGCCCTGGAGCTGGAGCCCCGAGGGCAACCCACGGGCAGTGACTGGGCTGGGGTGGGGCACGGTCCTCATGCGTCTGGCGCTCAGTGAAGCTGCGCTGGATGAGGGACCAGCCCCTGGTTCTGCCGTGTCCTGTAACCTGCTCTGCCCCTTGTGAGAGCACCGGCTGTTTTCTCCTGTAACCCACTGTGCCTCCCGTGAGAGCCGCAGCTGTGTTCTCTAACCTGCTGTGCCCCCCGTGAGAGCCCTGGCTGTCCCCACGGGAGGTGCCTTTAAAGGAGGCCTGTCCCACCGCATCTGCAGCCGCCGTCTCGGACGTGGTTGATGGGATGAGGCAGCGGGGATCTATTTTATCCCGTTTTGGGATGCTCTGTTGGCGGAATGTCCTGTGTGGTGCTTTAGAGAAATGGTGTTGGCGTGGGTGGTGGGCACTGGCTGGGGATGTGGTTTAACTCTCACTTGGGCCTAGGACAGCCATCTCAGACCAGGATGAGTCTCCGCTGCAGTGTCCTTTGCAGAGTCCGGGAGCCCCATTGCACCTCCATCCCACGGTGGCCATTAGGTGGCAAAGTTGGTGCCCATGGCCCCGGCGTCTGTTGCCTGAATACTCGGCCCTAGTGCTCTGGAATGTTCCATCCTCCCTCCTGTGTCTCCCTGTCATCCTTAATCCTGAGTCTGCCACTCAGAAGGGGTTTGCTCTGTAGCCTGGGAGGGTTTTCTCTGTGACTTCCCCGCCTTCTCATCCCTACACCTGTGTGCAGATGGGCTCCGGTGGCCTTCCCCAAAGTGGCCATGCTGAGGGCTGCGGGGACCACATCCTGCAGATGGGGGCCAAGATGTGGTTCCCAGAGGCAGAGGGCACCAGGGGCTGGGTGCTGGGTGCACCCTGTTGACCCAAGAAGCTCCCGTGCACCCGTCTCTCTTCTTCTGAGGGCGGAGAGTGAGTGGAGGTGGCCGGGGCCGCGCAGCCCCTGCTCCCCTGCCCCCCTTACCGGAAGGTTCCTTGTGCAGGGTCCCTCCTACCGCATGGGACTTGTGTGGCAGCCGGCGTCTGAGGACGGCACCGCTCCACGTCTTGGTGCAGAAAGGCTGGGGCTGAGTTGGGACGGATTCCACTTTTCCCTCCAAAACTGCCTGGGCCTGGTCCTCGGCCCTCCCAAGCGCCCGTGGCCTCACTCCCGTGACGGCCGTGGGTTCCTGCATCTACTCCTTCTTCTCGGCTGTTGACGGACTGTTCACACAACTCCTCTTTCTGGGAGCCAGTACAAGCACTCCGCAGGGGGTGGTGGCCACGTCTCTGAGCTCACACCCACTGCAGGTGGCCTCCCTCCCCTCAGCCTGAGTGGGGACAGTGGACCGAGGGTATCAAAGTCCGCGAGAAGCCATTTTTCCTCAGAACGTTTGAAGCCAGTGGTCTGTCTTCAGTAGATCTGGCCATCGCCTGACCTGTTCTTTCTGCCCTCTGCCCCGCGGACCCACAGTGTCTCGTTCGTGGCCATCTCATGCTGTTGCTGTGCTGAGGGGGGCTGAGCCCAGTGAAGAAGAGAGAGAGATACAATAGAGAGAGGAGAGAGAGAGAGAATATAAATAAGGAGGCGCAGAAGACCTGCGCTGAGATAACAACAAAAAGAAACAGAAAATAGACATCCCGCTGCGCATCTCTGCTCACCGAGCGTCCTCTTCCGCCGGGTCCCGCAAAATTACCTAGCTAGCCTCCCTCTGACCATTCATCAGTTTCTCCATCTTACTCCACTCGCTGCCTGATGTTAAATCAATTACTTGTTTATTTGGTTATATCACCTGCCCAACTGAAGGAACTTCAAGCGAGGGCGGACGGCTTTATGTCCCGCTCAGACCCTTCCAGCACTCCAAGCTATATAAAATCGTGGCAAAGCACGCGCTGATGGGTGGGACGCTCCAGCAGTGAGCCCCTGAAGGCCGGCTCAGAGGGGATTTCCCTCATCCCTTTGCTGCAGCGCGGGTCCACGGGGTGCGGTTTCTCAGATGACTCACGGAGGTGTGTGAATAAGGTTCGGGGTTTGTTCAGCGCATCCCCACAGGAGATAAGACCACAAGAACGCAGCAACTGAGTTTGAGCATCCCAGAGGTTCTTTATCCATCAATCGAACAGCACGCCCCACACTGTTCTGGGCGCTCACAACCACCATTGCTTTGGGAATTTCTCAACCGCTCTCCTGCCCAGCGATCCCTGCTGGCCGAGCCCAGTGGAACACAGGCCAGGCCCTGTGAGAAGCTCCCGCTGTTTCAGACAAAGAATGGTGCGTCAGCGATAAAACGGGAGATCTGTTCCTGCTGGAACCTGACCCAGCCCTTCTAACCCCAGGCTCCCTGCCCCACGCGGCCCGCCCCCGCGGGTCCTGCCCACAGGCGGCCCCGCCCCACCAAGGGATCTGCCCCCAACGCGGCCCCGCCCCCAACCGGGATCCTACCCCACGTGGTCTGCCAAACTGGGTCCTGCCACGTGGTTCTGCCCAACTGGGTCCGCCCTGCGTCCTCCGCTTGGGTTGGCATCTGATGTTTCGGTGCCTTCCGGGAAGGGTTGAATGGGAAGGGGCCTGCAGGCCCTTAAGGTCCTCAGTGTAGGCGACCCCCTGGATTTTTTTGGGGGGAATTTGTGGGATCTCAGTCAGCAGGGGCACTAAGGACCCCCAGGTGGACAGAGCCCACATTTGGCCAATGAATGGTGCTGAGACCTCAGGATCTGAAGAGGGCTCCTTGAGTCCCAGGGTTGGGACATGCACCTGTGTCCTTGGCACAGACCCTCCCACCGGCTCTTGTGTCTGTGGGCTGAGGAGAGGTTCAGCTCTCAGTGCAGTGCTGAGGGCCGACCTGGCGTCCAGGCCCCTTGGGGAAGCGGCTGTCGTGTGGAGGCCAGCACCTCACTCTTGAGTCCTTCAGGACCTGACTGGGTCTCACCATGCGTGGTGGGGAGGAGGCCTCGGCAGCCCCGCCCTGTGGCATAGCCCTGCGTCCGCAAACCCTCCCTGCGCGGCACCCCTCAGTCTTCTCAACTTCATGGCCCAGCCGCC